TAAGAAAATGACAAAGGGAAGCCAGGGACAGACCAAAGGAGTTCACACTAGCCCTTACATATTACCATCTCCCACATGTGTTGTTAACACACACACACACACACACACACACACACACACACACACACACACACAGAGTTTCTCTCTCTTTCTTCTATCTCTGGGACAGACTACAAGACTTCACAATAGCCCTTTACCTATTACCCATCTCCCCACATGTGTTGCCAACACACAGACACACACACACACACACACACACACACACACACACACAGAGTTTCTCTCTTCTTTCTCTATCTCTCTCTGGGACAGACTACAAGACTTCACAATAGCTCCTTTACCTATTACCCATCTCCCCACATGTGTTGCCACCACACAGACACACACACACACACACACACACACACACTCTGCCCTCTCTCTCAGGTCCAGGTTTAAGCAAAGCGACGGCTTCTTCTACCCCATCTATACAGACTAGGCTCCCATGGGTGGAGCATGGTTGCCTCCATTTCTACATCTCCCTGTTTTCAATCTGTGATGTTGATCCTTTTACCTCCTTCCTCTCTGTCTGTAACTTCCAGTATCTCTCACCTCTGGGTTAGTACTAATAGCTCCCTTTCCATCATAGTCTCTTTTCTTCCTCCCCAACCCTCCCCTTTCTTGTTGTAGCTTCCTTCTCACACATTGAAGCCCATCTTTTTCACTATGTCCCTGTGTACTTCTCTGTAATCCTTCCTTTCCTTTTGCCCACCCAGCCTACCCAGGTGGAATCCTTCCAGCAAATTAAAGGCAGGCAGGGACAGCCGACGCCAGCGCTGACCCTCCAGCACATGGGAGGGTGGGGAGCCCTGGGGGATGTCTGAAATCATTACTCCCAGGTGGGGCAGGCCTGGCAGAGGGAGGAGCAGCCGGGAGCTTCTGGACCCTGGAGGAAAGAGGGGTGTTTCTCATGGATGTCTGAGGTGCTAGGGTGCAGTGCAGGTTCTGTCTCTCTGGATTCTGACATTCTGTGTCTCTGTCCTTTCTGGGTCTCTGTCTCCCATCTCCCTGGTCTCTGAAATTCTGAACTTCTCCTTCCTCTTCTGCCCTCCCTTGAGTCTCCATCCCCTCTCTCCCCATGTTTCTCTGTGCTCCCTCTTGGGGTCTCGTGTCCCTCTGTCTCTGGGTCTCTTCACCCATCCAGCCACATGCCTGCAGGCCCTTCATTGGCTAGGTTCAGGATGGGCGGGTTCTGTCACCTGGGGCAACAGCAACAACAAGCCAGCACTACTTGGCTACAGGAGGCGGTGAACCATGGCCAGTGGCACCTGGTTCTGCGCTGTGCTCCCCACCCCGCCTCCCGCGTGCGGGTCTTCCATCTCTGCAACCGAGATGCCTGGGTCCTGGCCCAACTGCATCTCACCAACACCGTGTTGCCCACCCGCATTATTCCACCCGTGTTCTTCTCCCGCCCACGGTGCAGTGGTGAGTTCTCACCCTAGGCTGGCAGCCCCAGTGACTGGGGACCCAGAAAGCTAGGTGCTGAGTAAAGGGATTGGGAGCTTGACTGCTCTCTGAGTTGGAGTGTCCTGGAGCCCTGGGTCTGAGAGAGGAGGCACCAGGAAGCTGGATGCCAGATTGGGTAGAGAAAGGGCTGGGGGCTGACTGGAAGAGTTGGGAATTTTGGGATGGGGTGTGATACTAACTCCTGAGTTTCTAGCTGATGTGCAGCGCCTACTCTCCAGTTCAGGTCGCGGACCCTCCACCTCCGGCTACAAAGCAGGATGCCTCCGCATCCCGGGCTTTCCAGGAGGTCCTCTTCAGCAGATGGGAGACAACCTCTGGCTAGGCCCTGTCGCTTACGTGCCCAAGACCCATGGCAGCCCCCTGCGCCCAGCCCAGAGCCTGGGGGTAACAGAGCGCCTGTAGACCCAGAGGACTGGGGATCAGTATGATTCAAGAGAAAAGGTAAGGTTTAGGAGTGCTGGAGTCCGGGACACACAGGGTGAGACTGCATTTGAGTCTCGCGCCTTCTACATGGGCCCTCCCAGGCCGCCCCCGCACCAGAGGCCAAGGCTGGCGCTCCCCACTGACCACAAAGTACCACAGCGGTAAGAGTAGGCAGTACATGGGCTCTCCCGACCGGGAAGCCTGCGCCCGAATACATGGGGCTCCCAGCCCCTACAAGTCGCACCAATACCGTGGGGGGTTGGGCCTGAGGCTGAATAAAGGACCATACAACCTATCTTCAGGCTCCAAAGCTGCTGCGGAGCTGACAGCGGGCTGGGGATGTGGGAGGAGACGCCAGGAATATTCTGAGACGGTCAGGAGCTGGGAGAGGTAACATGCAATTGTTGCCCAAGATGCAGCTCAGCTCCAGTGGCCACACCAACATTTGGGTTTAAGACCCAGAGAGAAACCGGGGAGGGAGGTTTGTGGTGGCTGGGGGCCTGGGTTTGAGTTCCCTGACCAGCAGGAGGCTCGGGAACTTAGGGAAGTGAGGCTGGGAAGGGTTCGGGTTTGGAGGAAGTGAAGCTGAAGTCTCTGGCGTGGGTGGCAGGAAGGGCTCTGACCCTGGTCGGGGTGTGAGGGCGGTGGCTCCCGCCATGAACATGAAATGAGGCCGAAGGAGAGGGATTCTGAACTGGCCCGTGTGACTTGGAACGGGGTGTGAAATCTATGCCTTGGGTATGCCTCCTCCCACAATCTTGCAGTGCTCTAATCGCCTGGATGAAGAACTCGAAGCCGTCTGGCCGCCCTCACAGCATCCGACCGCGGACCACCGCCAGCTCTATCTGACCACCGCCTGGCCCTCGGTTCTATCCTATAAGCCGGCCTGCCCGCACCGCCTCCTGCACAGACTCCCGCCTTGGCCGGTGCTCGCGAGCCCCCTGGGCTTCCATTCTCTGACCCGGTGGTCTCAGCCTTGACTCCTATAGCAGCAAGAACCAAAATTCAGGCCCCAGTCTCTCCCTCTGTTAGCACCCAGAGTCCTTAGCAATAACTCTCAGGAACGGTGCAGTAGGGACAGGAAGCGGCACAGCGGCTGAGGGGATTCTCCTGGATCTGAGGGCAGGGCCTCCCTTCCGTACTTGAGCTCCCACATACTCCCCTTCCCAAGGAAGCGAAAGTCCCTGCCTCCCTTCCCTAGATACGAAAGCCTGTTTCCAGGACGTTAAGTACCGGAGTACCCAGGAACGCAGGCCGCATGCCCGGTGCCGTCCTTCCTGGGTAAGGCGCCCTCGCCCGGAAATGGTGAGTTTGGGTGCAGACTCCTTAGATCCCGAGGTCTGAACCTCGTCCCCAAGGATCCAGCTGTATGCTCACCATCCTGCCCTGCCCCACAGGACGGAGCTGCTCCCCAGTACCCTCGCAAAGACTCCTGACTACTGGAGCTTCCGAAGACGCTCCTAACCCGCAGCGGCTTGCCCTGTCCGCGCTCCTCCCGGCCGCCTGGAGCGCACCGCGGGGACCCTGACTCTGGCTCAGGAATCCTACAGCCCCGCGCTGCACCCGGTCCGCCCGCTGGACCGCTTCCGCCAGCTGGAGGCGCCCTGTGGCCCTACCGGTCAGCCTTTGCCGGGCATCCACAGTTCGCCGAAAGCCTGGGCGCCCCAAACCCCGCTCCGGCAGCTTGAAGTCGGCGCTAGTGGGAGCCGGCCGGGCCAGCCCCACCCCAGACACGCTCCCCGGAGCCTGGTGAGCCGAGCCCGACCGCCCATAATTACGCGGTGTCCGGACCTAGGTGGTCTCCTTACCTTTGCGTCTATCGGGAATGTGGGGGCCGGACTACCCTAGACACGCACACTCAGCTGCGGCTTCGCGAGGAAGGGACCAAGTTCAGATATAGTCCTTGGGAGGCTGTGGCCCTGCGGGCACACGACACACTCCCAGCGGCGTGTTAAATAATGAGTTAAATTGGCCACCTGAACCACGCACTTCCGGGACCGCTCCGCATCCTAGCTTGGAGGGTAGGGTGTGGGCGGAGGTCCCCAAGGAGAGGTGGGACTCTGGCTGAATCCTCGTTGGGGGGCATCTGAGCCAAGCGTCTTCCCCAGCTACAGTCACGGGGAGGCTCCTCAAGATTGGGCAGGAGCTAAAGCCACCCGGAAGCCGCGCCCATCCTGGGAGGTTGGACTTGCGGGAATGCCTTAAGTGGAGGAGGATTGAGGCTTCAGTCCCGCACCTTTCTCGGGTCACGGCCTCTCCTGGCTCCCAAGACCGCACGATAGGCAGAGAGGCAGGCCTTCCTACACCCCCACCACTCCCGTGCCCCAACGCCACTTCAGACCTAGCACCGGAGCTCGAGGTGGTCACTTCACCGTGGTCTCTGCCTCACTCTTCGGCTGACCACTGAGGGAGAGGGCTGGGACGCCCTGCTGAGCCACCCTGCCCTCCTGCCTTGCAGCAGCCCTCACCTCCCGGGGTGTTAGTGTCGAGGTCACCAGCATCCTACCACCTCCCTGGTGGCCTTGCCGCCCACAACCCGGAGTGTATAAAGCCAGGTACACGAGGCAGGACGCACCAAGGATGGAGATACCCAGGTGACTGTAGGGGCCCTGGCATTTTCCACCTCCTTCCAGGCCATCACTGGCATGAGAAGGGGCAGATGCGTGTGAGAGCTGTGGAAGCGAGGCCTCTTCTGAGGGTGTGACCCCCAGTAAGCTTCAGGTGGGGGCAATCCCGAGGGTGGGGATCTGAAATGTTGGGGTATCTCAGGTCCTCTGGGCTGTGGGGTGGGCGCTGAAAGGCAGGTGTCTGGGTGGTGGTCCTGACTAGGAGATGCCGGGAAGGGTCTCTGGCCGTTGCACGGGTGTACCGGGAATGGGAGGGCCAGGGCACGGGCTGGTGTCTCAGACTGGGCTGAAGCAGGTTCTGTCCCAGGGGCTGCTGCCGCTGCTGCTGACAAGGGGCATGGGCATCCAGGGGAGCCGCCATGCCACTGTGCCGCCCCATCAATGCCAAATTCTGGCTGCCGGTAGAAGGAGGCCTGCCCCGTGGGGTGCATCACTGTCATCACTCACCATCTGTGCCGGCTACTGCCCCACCATGGTGAGCTGCCCTGGGCCAGGGAGGATACAGGTGCTGCCACCTCAGGCGGGGTCACAGAGGCAGCGGGGTGAAGGGCGGTCTGCCTGTTCATTGGCTGGGGAATGGGGTGGGAGGGCGGAACAGAGGGCTTCCTGGACTCCTGAGTCTGGGACCTTTGGGGGCAGCTGGGGAGCTCAGCGAGGCGCTGGCCCCAGGCACATGCTCACTCCCTATCTACACTTCCTCCCAGATGCGAAAGGGCAGGCGGTCGTGGCGCCAGTGCCCCAGCAGGTGGTGTGTGTACCTACCGCGAGGTGCGCCTCCACTCCATCCGCTCCCCTGGCTGCCCCGCCTGGCGTGACCCCATGGTCTCCGGCCCGTGGCTCTCAGCTGTCGCTGTGACTCTGCCGCCGCAGCACTCTCTGACTGTGGGGTCCTGGGCGACCACCTTGACCTGTGATGACCCCTCACCTCCAGGCCTCCTTCCTCAAAGGACTTCTCCCCTAGCCCTCCAAGTCCATCCCGACTCCTGGGAACCAGCAGGCACCCCGCTCCTCCCGCAGAAGAAAAGGCTTCTCAATCTGCACTCTGGGGTTGTCTTTCTGTGGACCTGTGGGCAACCACACACAGGGTGGGTCCAGCTTCAAACCATTTTATACAAAGTCACACTGTCAGATCTCTGTAGAATACAAGGTGGATGGCTGACGCCGTGGGCTCATGCCTGCAATCCCAGCACTTTGGGAGACTGAGGTGGTTGATCGCGTAGGTCAGGAGATCCAGACCATCCTGGCTAACATGGTGAAACCCCGTCTCTAGTAAAAATATAAAATTAGCCGGGAGTGGTGGCAGGTGCCTGTAGTCCCAGGTACTTGGGAGGCTGAGGCAGGAGAATGGCGTGAACCCAGGAGGGGAGCATGCAGTGAGACAAGATGGTGCCACTGCACTCCAGTGATCCACAGAGTGAGACTCCATCTCAACAACAACAACAAAAAAGAAAACAGGGTGGGGACAGGGGATGACATCCAGCTTCAGAGGTGTCCATGGTCTCGCCGTCTGTGGGGGAGAAGGAAGGCCATGTGGTCAGTGTTATTTCCAGGGGCAGGGCCTGAGCCTTATGAGCTCCCTCTTCCTCCCCTCCTGAGGGTGGCAGCACTGGCAGTACAGGTGGGGGGTGGGGATCTGAATGGGATGAATGGTCTGAGGTGGATGTCATCTCTTCCATTCTGCTTCATCCACTGCCTTTCCCTTCCTCAGGGATGGCCCTGCTGCTCTAAGGACCCCAGTTTCAGAACTCAACAAATGATCACAATATCACAACTCTCTGAATTAGAGCTCAATCTCTGCAAGATGGGTGAAACCATAAGGGGTTTTGAAGTTTGAATAGAGTTCTCCGGAGGAACTTGAGGGTAATAATTATCATGATGATGATAAGAATAACCACTATTTGCAGGGCGCGCGTAAGCCAAGCCTGTAATCAGAACTTTGGGAGGCCAAGATGGCGATCACGAGGTCAGCAGACGATAACACGGTGAAAACCCCGTGATCTACTAAAAAAAAAAAAATACAAAAAACTAGCCGGGCAAGGTGGCGGGCGCCTGTAGTACCAGCAACTCCGGAGGCTGAGGCAGGAGAATGGCTGGAACCCAGGAGGCAGAGCTTGTAGTGAGCTGAGATCCGGCCACAGCACTCCAGCCTGGGCGACAGAGGAGACTCCGTCTCAAAAGAACAACAACAAAAAAAAAAGAATAACCTCTATTTTGAGTGTTTACTTTCAGCCCTAATACATAACTCCTCGGATCAACTCTCATGGATTTGATCATTAGTGGCCTTTGTTGAGGCTGGACTGCCCAGTCTCAGAGGACACCACCTGCTCATCCTGGAGAGAGGGAGGGTAATACTGTAATACGTGGATACGAAGGAGAGAAACTGGAACATGCAAGCAGATGGCCAGGGGACCTTGAGAACGTGGTCCACAGAAGGCTTTTAAGTGTCTGGGAGCTGGGGTTCAAATGGGAAATATTACTTGGTGAGAGGGGGCAGGGTTTGGCTTAGAATATTCTGTTGTGAGGTAATGAGCCCCCCATCACAGGGAGAGTACAAGCAAGGTTGAATAAGAAGTGATCAGGATGCTGGAGAGTTCAGCCTCTGGGTGGGAGTTGAGTCAGGTTTCTAGCCCTTCCTGCTGTCCCAAATCCTTATACCCTACATTGGGAAAGAAACAGACTCCTTTAAAAATTATCCCGTGCTTGATGGCCGGGTGTGATGACTCACGCCTGTAATCCCAGCACTTTGGGAGGCCGAGGCAGGCGAATCACCTGAGGTCACATTCAAGGTGAAACTCCCGTCTCTAATAAAATTATAAAAAGAAATTTTCTGACGTGGTGAGTGCCTGTAATCCTGCTACTCTGAAGGGTGAGGCGGAGAAACACTTGAACCTGGAAGCAGAGGTTGCAGTGAGCTAAGACTCTGCCATTGTGACTCCAGGCTGGGCAAGAGGGAAACTCCTCTGCCTCAGAAAAAAAAAAAAAAAAAAGTCCAGCTTGAGTGGGACATGACATTTGACTTCAACCCGCCAGCCCTGCTGATCAGGGGGTCAGGTGGGTACTGACAGCCCTTGAGTAGGGCCAGCAAAATCCAACAGAAGGGTTCCAGAAGCCTGAATGGGGGAGGGAGGGGTAAGTGGATTCTGGGCCTGGCTGCAGAAGGCAGCCTCAGTTTTCCTTGTCTGAATGGGCCAGTGGGATGAGCTGCCACGGGGTTCTGAGATGAAGCCTTGAACTAAAGCTTTTCCTTTTTTTTTTTTTTTTTTTTTTTTTTTTGAGATAGAGTGGGCGCCATCTGAGCTCACTGCAGCATTCACCTCCTGGTTCAAGTGGATTCGCCTTAGCTGGGATTACAGGTGGGTCCTACCATGCCTGGCTAATTTTCTTTATGTTTTTGGTAGAGACAGGGTTTTGCCATGTTGGCCAGACTGCTCTCAAACACCTAACCTCAAGTTATCTATCTGCCTCAGCCTCTCAAAGTGCTGGAATTACAGGAGCGAGCCACCGCTGGCCCACTGACCAAAAGCTCTTTTATATAGTGAAGAAACACAAGGGAAGCCAGGGACAGATCAAAGGAGTTCACAATAGCCCTTCACCTATTACCCATCTCCCCACATGTGTTGTTAACACACACACACACACACACACACACACACACAGAGTTTCTCTCTTTTTCTTGTTTTTTTTTCTCTCTCTCTCTGTCTGGGACAGACCACAGGACTTCAAAAATAGCCCTCACTCTATTACCCATCTCCACATGTGTTGCAATACAACCGCACTCTCTCTCTCTCTCTCTCTCTCTCTCTCGTCCAGATTTGAGTATGGGACATAGGCTTCTCCACCCATCTATACAGACCAGGCCCTGGGGCGGTGGAGGCATGGCTGCCTCCGCTTCTACATCTCCCTGTTTTCAATCTGTGATGTTGATCCTTTTCTTTTTTGCCACCTTACTCACTGTCTGTAACTTCCAGTGTCTCTCACCTCAAGTTAGTACTAATAGCTCCCTCCCAATCGTGACTCTTTCCTCCCTGCTCCTCTCTTTTTATTATTTTTTTCTAAATGTCCAGGCCGGTCTTCTTTTCACTATGCCGTCCCCAGTGCACTTCTCTGTGGGTCTGTCCTTCTCTTGCCCGCCCAGCCTTACCCAGGTGGAACTTTTCCAGCAAATTAAAAGGCAGGCAGGCCGGGCATGGTGGCTCAAGCCTGTAATCCCAGCACTGGAGGCTGAGATGGGCGGATCACCAGGTCAGGAGATCGGGGAATCCTGGATAACACGGTGAAACCCTATCTCTACTAAAAATACAAAAACTAGCCGGGCGTAGGCGGGTGCCTGTAGTCCTGTGCTGCTACTAGTCCCAGCTACTCAGGAGGCTGAGAATGGTGTAAACTCCGGGAGGTGGAGCTTGCAGTGAGCCGAGATCTGGCCACTGCACTCCAGCCTGGGCGCTGGGAGCTGTGACTCCGTCTCAAAAAAAAAAAAAAAAAAAAAAAAAGGCAGGCAAGACATGGACGCCAGCACTGACCCTCCAGCACATGCAGTGATAGTGGGGGAGCCCCTGGGGATCTCTGAAATCATTACCCCAAGGTGGGCAGACTCGGCAGAAGGAGGGAAGCAGCAGAGCTTGACCTTGAGGAAAGAGAGAGGGGTGTTTTCATGGATGTCCTGAGGCTGAGTGCAGTGCAGGGTCTCTGATATCTCTCACCTGATTCCCAGGTCTCTGTTCTCTTTTTTCTGGGCTCCTTTGAATTTGAACTCTTTCTTCTCTTCTGCCTCCTCTCTTTGAGTCTCCATCCCCCTCCCCGCATTTCTCTGTGCCCCTCTTGGGGTCCGTGTTCTGTCTCTGGGTCTTCCTCACTCCATCCATCCACATGTCTGCGCTCCATTGGCTAGGGGTCTTGGGCGGGGTTCTGTCACCTGGGGCAAATAGCAACAACAAAGCCAGCACCTACTTGGCTATGGGGAGGCGGTGGAACCATGGCCAGTGGCACCCTGGTTCTGCGCTGTGGGCCCCACCCCACCCCGTGGTCTTCTCCATCTTCTGCAACCGAGATGCCTGGATCCTGGCCCAACTGGAGACCTTTCACCAGCACCTGCGTTCTACCCCCCAGTGCAGAGGTGAGTTCACCCTTAGCTGGCCCTGCGGGACCGGGACCCAGAAAAGCCAGGTGCTGAGTAAAGGGGATTGGGCTTGGACTGCTCTCTCTGGAGTTGGAGTGTCCTGGAGCCCTGGTTCAGAGAGAGGAGGCACCAGGTTGGATGCCAGGGATTGCAGAAAGGGCTGGGGCCGACTGGAAGAGGTCAGAGTTTGGGGTGAGACGTGATACCAACTCCTGAGCTCTTTTCTAGCTGATGTGCAGCGCCTACTTCTCCAGTCCAGGGTCAGTGACTCTACCTCCGCTACAGCAGGATTCCTCGCATCTGGGCTTTCGACGCAGGTCCTCAGCAGATGGAGACAACTCTGCCTCGCTCTACGTGCCCAGATTCCACATGGCCCTGCGCCTGTAGCCCAGAGCCCTGTGGGTCTGCAGACCCCACGCGGACTGTGGGGATCAAGGAATGGAAGGTTTGGGAAGTGCCGAGTCCGCAGGGACAGGGTGGGAGATCACGGAGTCCCCTGCGCCACATGGGTCCCCAGGCCGCTCGGCACTCTCAGACGCCGCAGCTGGGGCCTCCACTGACCACAAAAATACCAGCGCAGCTGTAGACGAGCGCAGTGGCCACGGCTCTCCGATCAGGACGCGCGCGCCCCGACAGGTCAGCCCCAGCCTCACAAGTCGCAGACCACCACCACGGGGCTGGGCCTCCCCGAGGCCAGCCAAAGGACCGGGCTGAAACTCACCTTCATTCCTAAGCTGCCAAAGGGGCAGAGCTAGAGGGCTAGACTGTGGGTGGGGACGAGACTAGAATATTCTGAGATGGGGTCGGATGGGAGCTGGGAGAGCTCAGCCCAGTGGCTACACCAAGACGGTTTAAGACCGGGAGCGGAACCACAGAGGTTGTTTTTGGTAGACTGGGGCTTGGGTTTGAGTTCCTTGACCAGCAGGAGGTGCTTGGATTTAGGGAGATGAAGCTGGGAAGGGTCTAGGTTTGAAGAAGGAAGCTGAAGTTCCCTGGCGTGGGTGGCAGGAAGGGCCCTGACTCTGGGTCGTTACAGGGCCGTGGCGGACATGACTGTCGAGGCTAAGGAGAGGATCGCGCTGCACCGCTGGGCCTGACTCCCGCCTCGAATCCTACAGCCTCTCAAGGCCACCTGCTCCCCGGGCGGCTCGACCGCTTCCGCCCGCTGTGCCCTCTGGGTGGTTCTCTCTGAAGCCCTTGCCGGGCATCCCACAACGTGCCAAAAGCCTGCAGCCCCAGAACTCCAGCCCGGCAGCTTGAAGCCAGCGCCAGGGGAGCCGGCCGGGCCAGCCCCCACCCTAGACACGAATTTCTGGCCTCGGCGGAGAGCTTTCGAGCCTGACTCTGTGATGTAGATGCTCCAGGTAAGACTGCAGGCTCCCTGGGCAACTTCCACCTTCCAGCCACATCACTGGCATGAGAAGGGGCAGACGTTGGGCAGAGTTGTGGAAGGTCTTTTATCTGAGGGGGCGTGTGGACCTCCCAGTAAGCCCACTACGAGGGTCCAGACCCAGGTTGGCTCCCACTTATTACTTCTTGTCCGCAATGTGGGGGCGGGACTAACTCAGACACGCCACTCAAGCTGCGTATCGTGTGGGAAGGGACTAAGTCCAGATAATGTCCGCCGAGGCTGCTGACTCGAGCAGGACACGCCTGCGAAGCGCAGCAATAATGAGTTAAATCATCTGAGCCACACCTACTTCTCGGGACCGCTCCGGCATCCTAGCTTGAGGGTAGGGTGGGCGGAGGTCCCAAGGGAGAGGTAGGGCTCTGGCTGAATCGTTCGCTCGCGGGCACCATCTGGGTCAAGCAAACTTCCTTGGCTGCACAGTCAAGGGGTGGCCCGCGGATTGGGCAGAAGCTAGTTCGGCCGCTACCTCCTGGGAGGTTGGACTGTGGCGCGGAATGCCTTAAATGGAGGGAGGGAGGTTGAGGCTTCAGTCCCGCACCTTTCTCGGTCACGGCCTCCTCTTGGCTCCTCCCAAGACCACAGGATAGGCAGAGGCCTTCCTACACCCTACCTCTGGGTGCCTCCAACGCCACAAAATCCTAGCACTGGACGACTGAGTCCTGAGGTCACCACCGTGGTCTCCTGCCTCACTCTTCGCTGACCACTGTGGGAGAGAGCTGCCTCGCTGAGCCACTCCCGCGCCTCCGCGCGGCCTTGTGCACCTCCTCACCTCCCCGGGTGTTAGTGTTTAGTCACCCCAGCATCCTACCACCCTCCCGGTGGCCTTGCCGCCCCCACAACCCGGAGGTGGCAAAAGCCAGGTACACGGCGTGTGCACTCTCAAGGATGGAGATGCTCCAGGTACTGCAGGCTCCCTAAGCACCTTCCACTCCTTCCTTCCAGGCCATCACTGGCATGAGAAGGGGCAGACGCGTGTGAGCTGTGGAAGGAGGCCCTTTCTGAGGGGCGTGCACCCCAGTAAGCTTCAGGTGGGGCAATCTCTTGAGGGTGGGACCTGAAATGTTGGGGTATCTCAGGTCCTCTGGGCTGTGGGGTGGGGCGCTGGAAAGGCAGGTGTCTGGGCGTGTGGGTCCTGACTAGAGCCGGAAGGGTCTCTGGGTCGTTGCTCGTGGTGTACTCGGGAATGGGAGGGCTAGGCAGGGCGGTCTCAGACCGGGCTGAAGCATTGTCCTTGTCCCAGGGCTGCTGTGGCTGCTGCTGAGCATAATGGGGCAAAGGCATCCAGGGAGCCGCTATGCCACTGTGCCGCCCCATCAATGCCACCCTGGCTGCCGAGAAGGAGCCTGCCCTGTAAAACACCACAACACCCACCATCTGTGCCGGCTACTGCCCCACCATGGTGAGCTGTCCGGGGCCAGGGACAGGTGCTGCCACCAGGGGGCCGGGCCACAGAGGCAGCGGGGGAGGCGGGCGGTCTGCCTGTCTGGTCGGGGGCTGGGGAATGGGGTGTGGAAGGGCGGGAACAGAGGGCTTCCTGACCCTGAGTCTGGGACCTTTGGGGGCAGCTGGGAGCTCAGGGAGGCGCTGGCCCCAGGCACACTCACTCCTATCTACACTTCTCCAGATGCGGGAAAGCGTGGCATGTCATGGCCAGTGCCCCCAGGTGGTGTGTACTCACCGCGAGGTGCGCTCGACTCCATCCGGCTCCCTGGCTGCCCGCCTGGCGTGACCCCGTGGGTCTCCATTCCTGTGGCTCCTCAGCTGTCGCTGTGGACTCTGCCGCCGCAGCACTTTGTGGGGTCCTAAGACCACCTTTGACCTGTGATGACTCCCACCCCAGGCCTCTCACAAAGGACCTCCCAGCCTCCAAGTCCATCCCGACTCCTGGAACTAGCAGGCACCTGCCTCCCACAATAAAGGCTTCTCAATCTGCACTCCGGGGTGTCTTTCTGTGGGCTAGGCAACCACACACACGCAGGGTGGGTCCAGTTTCAAACCATTTTATACAAAGTCACAGCGTCAGAACTCTGGTAAAAACAGGGTGGGGACAGGGGATGACATCCAGCTCAGGAGGTGTCCATGGTCTCGCCTTCTGTGTGGAGAAGGAAGGCCACATGGTCAGTGTGGCCCAGGGTGCAGGGCCTGAGCTCTCAGGCCGAGCTCCCCTCTTCCTGCCTCTCTGAGGGTAGCACTGGCAGTGCAGGTGCCGGGTGGGAACCTGAATTGAATGAATGGATGGAGGGGGGATGCTTCTTCCAGCCTCCTTCAAGCACTGCTCCTCCCTTTCTCCTCTTCCCTCTACCCTCTCTCCATCTGCTTCCCATCCCTGCCAGGAGCCATCACCTGGGCAGAAAAGGGGCCCTCGGAAAGGGGCAGGGCCTTGACTGAGTACCCTCCACTTCTAAGAGGAATTTGGGGAGGGGGTGCTCAGGGATTTGGCCCCTTCCCACCTGCCTGTATACCCTGCCTGGACTTCTTCCTCAAGTGGTTGCCCTCCCTCTCCTGAGATGTCAGGGAAAGAGGGGGCTGGCTGTGTCCTCCAGGCTCCCCGGCCTGGGGACTCCCAGCCCCAGAGTTCGAGGTGAGGACGTGCGACAGGTCTGGGTAACCACTGGCTGTTTCCCAGTCTTCTCCACACCACCCTTTCCCAGAACCACAGGCTTCCAGAATGTTGTAGAGAAACTGCAACATCCAAGCCTCCACCAGCCTCTCCCCTCGCGCCCAGAAGGTCACTTCACACACGGGAAAACAGTTTGGGTTCTGGGGCAAAGGCCACCTCCTTAGTGGCAGTTTTGAGGTGAACTGGGGTCTCCTAGGATGTATGTTGTGGCCTTTCTCCAAATTCAGGAATGTGGCCAGGCATGGTGGCTTGAGTCTGTAGTCCCAGCTACTCAGGAGCCACAGCAGGAGGATTGCTTGAGCCCAGGAGTTCATGCAGCGGGAATCAGCAAGATATCATATTAAAAACACCCAGCTCAGATCAGGCGTGGTGTCTCACGCCTGTAATCCCAGCAGTTTTGAAGCCACGCTGAAATTGGGAGTTCAAGACCAGTCTGCCAAGATGGTGAAAGGTAAGGTCTAGCTAAAAATACAAAATCAGCTGGGCACGGCGGCAGGCGCTGTACTCCAGCTACTGAGAAGACTGAGGCAGGAGAATCACTTGAACCCATGAGTAGACGTTGCAGGAGCCATTACTGCACTCCAGCCTGGGCAGAGGAGACTTGTCTCTAAAAAAAAAAAAAAAAAAAATTGATTGGAACATCCTACAAGACGCAAGACTTATGTTTCCTCAGAGTTGTACAGGAAGGATGGCAGAGTGCAGTTACTCCAGACTTAAGTCCCATCTGTGCCCTTTGCTGGTTGTGTGACCAGACACAAATCATTTTTTTCTCTGAGCCTGTATTTCATCATCTGTTGCTATTAAGTAATAGTAGTTGAATACTTATTTTTATTCTATTATTATTATTTGTTTTTGATATGGATTTTCACTTCCTTTTTTTTTTTTTTTTGAGACGGAGTCTCGCTCTGTTGCCCAGGCTGGAGTGCAGTGGGCCGGATCTCGGCTCACCTCAGCTCCGCCTCCCGGGTTTACGCCATTTTCCTGCCTCAGCCTCCCGAGTAGCGGGGACTACAGGCGCCCGCCACCTCGCCCGGCCAGTTTTTTTGTATTTTTAGTAGAGACGGGGTTTCACCATGTTAGCCAGGACGGTCTCGATCTCCTGACCTCGTGATCCGCCTGCCTCGCCTCCCAAAGTGCTGGGATTACAGGCTTGGAGCCACCGCGCCCGGCCGGATTTTCACCTTGTTGCCCAGGCTAGGAGTGCAATGGTACAATCTGGCTCACTGCAACCTCTGCCTCCTGGGTTTAAGTACCCTCCTTCCTCAGCCTCCCGAGTAGCTGGGATTATAGTCACGTGCGCCACCATGCCTGGCTAATTTTGTAATTTTAGTAGAGACAGAGTTTCAACAAGTTGGCCAGGCTAGTCTTGAACTCCTCACCTCGCGTGAGCGCCCACCTCGGTCTCCCAAAGCCTGGGATTACAGGCGTGAGTCATAGTAGTAGTTGTATATTTATTATTAATCTACAGTTTGGGCATTATGCAAGTGTTAGATATAGGATCCTAGAACAAGAGCTTCCCACAATCCTGGCAGGCAAGCCTCCCCTGGGTCAAACTCTGTCCCCACTCAGTTTTCACCCCTTTCTCTAATCCCCCAGCCCCTGCTCTGTCTCCAGGTGCCCGAGAACTGCTCCTCCCTCCCCTCATGCTCCCTCTCCTTATCCTCCTCCTTTCCTCCTCCCCAGTGTGCCAATTGAGTCCCAACCTCACCCTCGACATTACCCCCATTTCTGGCCCTGAGTGGGACCTTCTGTCCCCCCACCGAGTGGTGGTCCTGTCACCCAGGGTGCTCTGCTAGCCCCCTGCTCCTCCTGCTGGAGGCTGGGGCCTTGGAGAGTCAGCAGGCACTCTGGCCAACCACAGCTGGTGTGGGTGAGCGAAACTGCACCTGTGGGAGTCGCCGGGTGAACTGGGTCACGACGCAGTCAGCGTGTGCTGGGTGACAGACTCGGATCGCTGTGGACTTCGCGGCACGAGGTGGAGGTGCTAGGTGAGGGCCTGCAGCTGGCAGCAGTCCCTCCTGGCTATACTTCTTTGAAACCCGCTGCAAGGCTGATAACTCTGAGGAAGGTGGCCCAGGGGCAGGAGGGGGGCTGCCGGGTGGACCAAGGCACTGGCAGGTCTGAGTGCAAGTGCCAAGTAGCCGATGTGCGGCTCTGAGACCCATGCCCAGTAACTGGTCAGGCAGAAAAGAACTGAAGTGATGCTGGAGAGACCAGGGGGCCCAGTTACTCGAAGGATCCTGGAAGTTTGAGAACTCATCAGAATGATCACAAAATCACAATTCTATGATTTGAGCCTGGTTCTGCAGATGGGTGAAACCATATGTTTTGAAGTTGAATACGAAGTTCTCCCCAAGCAACTTGAGGGTAAGAACATGATGATGATACCCAGGTGCAGTGATCATGCCTTACCCAGAACTGGAGGCCAAGGTAAGGCGGATCACCTGATGTCAGGAGTTTGAGACCAACCTGGCCAACATGGTGAAACCCCGTCTCTACTTAAAATAGAAAAATTGGCAGGGTGCGGTGGCTCCGCCGCCTGTAATCTCAGCACGTGCCGAGATGGGCGGATCACGAGGTCAGGAGATCGAGACTGTCCTGGCTAACACAGTGAAACCCCATCTCTACTAAAAATACCAAAAAAAAAAAAAAAAAAAAAAATTAGCCAGGCATGGTGGCAGGTGCCTGTAATCCCAGCTACTCAGGAGGCTGAGGCAGAGAATTGCTTGAACCTGGGAGGTGGAGTTTGCAGTGAGCTGAGATCACCCCACTGCACTCCACCCTGGGGGATGTGAGATGCAGACTTCTGCCTTCAAAAAAGAAAAGAAAAAGATGATGACATGATAGTAATAACCACTATTTACTGAGTGTTTACTGTTTCTTGGTCCTAATACAAAACTCTCAGATCAGCTCTCATGGATTTGACTGGTGGCCCTTTGGCGCAAGTTGGCTGACTACTTAGTCTCAGAGGTTACCACCTTATTCATCCTGGAGAGTGGGAGAGGGGACATTTTAGATGTGGTTGGGGGAGGGAGAGACACTCAAACATGCAAGCAGATGGCCAGGGGATCTTGAGAACGTGGGTCCACAGAAGGCCTTTAAGTGTCTGGGAGCTGGGGTTCAAATGGGAAATCTTACTTCTGGTGAGAGGGGGCAGGCATTGGCTTAGAATAGTCTCTGTGAGGTAATGAGCCACCCATCAAGGGGGAGTACAAACAAGGTTGCACAGAGAAGTCATCAGGGATGCTGAGAGTTCAGGCCTGGGTGGGGGAGCTGAGTCAGGTTTCTAGCCCTTTTCCTTGTCCCAGATTTTACCCTACATTGGGAAAAAAAAAAGAAACAGACCTTAAAATTGTCCAGCTGATGGCCAGGTGTGGTGGCTGACACCTGTAATCCCAGCACTTTGGGAGGCTGAGGTGGGCCAATCACCTGAGGTCAGGAGTTCAAGACCAGTCTGGCCAACATGGTGAAACCCCGTCTTACTAAAATTATAAAAGAAATCAGCTGGGCATGGTGGCAGGTGTGCTTGTAATTCAAACTACCCGGAGGGTGTGTGGCAGGAGAATTGCTTAAACCTGGGAGGCAGAGGTTGCAGTGAGCCAAGGCTATGTCAGCTGCACTCCAGTCTGGGCAAAAAGGAGGGAAACTCTGTCTCAAAAATATATATATATATTGTCGGCCAGGCGCGGTGGCTCAAGCCTGTAATCCCAGCACTTTGGGAGGCCTAGACGGGCGGATCATGAGGTCAGGAGATTGAGACCATCCTGGCTAACACGGTGAAACCCCGTCTCTACTAAAAAATACAAAAAAGTAAGGCCGGGCGCAGTGGCTCACGCCTGTAATCCCAGCACTTTGGGAGGCTGAGGCGGGTGGATCACCTGAGGTCAGGAGTTCGAGACCAGCCTGACCAACATGGAGAAACCCTGTCTCTACTAAAAATACAAAATTAGCTGGGCGGGTGGCGATGTCATACCCAGCTACTAGGAGGCTGAGGCAGGAGAATTGCTTGAGCCTGGGAGGCGGAGGTTGTGGTGAGCCGAGATCGTGCCATTGCACTCCAGCCTGGGCAACAAGAGTGAAACTCCATTAAAAAAAAAAAACCCGTCTCTACTAAAAAATACAAAAAACTAGCCGGGCGAGGTGGCGGCGCCTGTAGTCCCAGCTACTCGGGAGGCTGAGGGCAGGAGAATGGCGTGAATCCGGGAGGCGGAGCTTGCAGTGAGCTGAGATCCGGCCACTGCACTCCAGCCTGGGCAAGAGAGCGAGACTCCATCTCAAAAAAAAAAAATTGTCCAGCTTGAGTGGGGCATGAGGTTCTGACTAACTAGCCTGCCTCCTGGCTAGGATCAGGGGTCACTGTGCATTGAGAGCTCTTGAGTAGGGCCAAAAAAATCCAACAGAAGGGCCCCAGAAGCCTGAATGGGGGAGGAGGGGTAAGTGGGATTCTGGGCCTGGCTGCAGAAGGCAGCCTCAGCTTTCCTCGTCTGAAGAATGGGCTGCTGGGATGAGATAATGGGGGTTGAGGAGGCAGAGGCCTTGACCTAAAGCTCTTTTTTTTTTTTTTTTTTTTGGATGGAGTCTTGCTCTGTCACCCAGGCTGGAGTGCAGTGGCGCAATCTGAGCTCACTGAAACATTCACCTCTCAAGTTCAAGTGATTCTCCTGCCTTAGCTGGGATTACAGGTGCGCACCACCAAGCGTGGCTAATTTTTGTATTTTTTGGTGGAGACAGGGTTTTGCCATGTTGGCCAGGCTGGTCTCAAACTCCTCACCTCAAGTGATCCGCATGCCTCAGCCTCCCAAAGTGCTGGGATTACAGGAGTGAGCCACCGTGCCTGGTGACCAAAAGCTCTTTATAGTGAAGAAGTTACAAGGAAGCCAGGGCGAGATCATAGGCCTTCACAACAGCCCATGACGTATTACCCATCGCCCCATATGTGTTGCCAACACACACACACACAATCTCTCTGTCTGTCTCCCTCTCTCTCTCAGGTCCAGCCTTTTTTTTTTTTTTTTTGAGACAGAGTCTCGCTGTGTCGCCCAGGCTGGAGTGCAGTGGCCGGATCTCAGCTCACTGCAAGCTCCGCCTCCCGGGTTCACGCCATTCTCCTGCCTCAGCCTCCCGAGTAGCTGGGACCACAGACACCTGCCACCTCGCCCGGCTAGTTTTTTGTATTTTTTAGTAGAGACGGGGTTTCACCGTGTTAGCCAGGATGGTCTTGATCTCCTGACCTCGTGATCCGCCCGTCTCGGCCTCCCAAAGTGCTGAGATTACAGGCGTGAGCCACCGCGCCCGGCCTCAGGTCCAGCTTTGAGCAAAAGACATAGGCATCCCCTCCACCCATCTGCACAGACCAGGCCCCTGGGCGGGCTGGGGCGTGACTGCCTCAGTTTCTACATCTCCTTGTTTACTATCTGTGATTTTGCTCTTTTTTGCCACCTTCCTCTCTGTCTCTAACTTCCAGTGGCTCTAGCCTCTGGGTCAGTCCTAATAGCTCCATTTCCAATGTGGTCTGTTTCTTCCTTCCTGTCTCTCTCCTCTCTTGTACTTCTTTCTCACTCATCAAAGCCCATCTTTTTCGCTATGTCCCTGTGCACTTGTCTGTGGTTCCCTCCTCTTTCCACACTCTGCCTACCCAGGTGGAACTTTTCAGGCAAATCAAAGGCAGGCAGGACAGCCAATGCTGGTGCTGATTACTTCAGCACGTGCAGGGAGGGTGGGGGAGCCCAGGAGATGTCTGGAAATCCTTACCCCGAGGTGGGCAGGCCTGGTAGACAGAGGAAGCAGCCGGGAGCATCTGGGCCCTGGAAGAAAGGGGGTGTTTCTCATGGAGGTCCTGAGTTGCTAGGTGCAGTGCAGGGGTCTCTGTCTCTCTGTCTGGATCTTGACACCTCCAGGTCCCTATCCCTCTTTTTGGGTTTCTCTGTCCCCCACCCACTGGTTCTCTGAAATTCTGAACTTCTCCTTCCCTTTCCGACCTCCTCTCTTTGAGTCTCCATCCCCCTCCCCGTGTTTCTCTGTGCCCCTCTTGGGGTCCCTGTCCCTCTGTGTCTCTGGGTCTCTTTCTGGCTCCATCCAGCCACATGTCTGCAGGCCCTCGATTGGCTAGGTTCAGGGTGGGCGGGTTCTGTCACCTGGGGCAACAACCACAACAAGCCAGCTACTGCTTGGCGACCGGGTGGAGGTGAAACTATGGCTGGTGGCAGCTTGGCTCTGTGCTGTGGCCCAGCGTGGTGCCCTATCTCTGCAACCGAGGTACCTGGATCCAGGCCCAACTGGCATCGCACCAGCAGCTACGTTGCCCACCGCATTATTCCACCCGTACCCATCATCCCGCCCACGGTGCAGGTGGGCAGACCCTAGGCTGAAGCCCTGCGGGGCCTGGAGACCCAGAAAGATAGGGACTAAGTAAAGGGGATTGGGAGCTTGGACTCCTCTCTGAAGGAGGAGGGTCCTGGAGTCCTGGGTCTGAGAGAGGAGGCACCAGGGAAGCTGAATGCCAGGGATTGCAGAGAAAGGGCTGGGGGGCGACTGGAAGAGGTCAGAGCTTGGGGTGGGGGGTGATACGGACTCCTGAGTCTTTCTAGCTGATGGGCAGCGCCTTCTCTCCAGTCCACGGTCGCGGACCCTCTACCTCCGGCTGCAAAGCAGGACTCTCGCATCTGGGCTTTCGACGAGGTCCTCAGCAGATGGGAGACAACCTCTGGCTCGGCCTACGTGCCCAAGACCCATGGCGGGCCCTGCGCCCAGCCCAGAGCCCCAGAGCCTGCAGACCCCACGCGGACTGTAGGTATCAAGGATTTAGGAGAAAAGGTAAGGTTTGGGGAGTGCCAGAGTCCGCGGGGGACAGGGCGGGGGACTGCATTTGAGTCCCCTGTGCCTTCACATGGGTCTCCGGGTCGCCTTTCCACAGCTCAGACGCCGCGGCTGGCACCTCCCACTGACCACAAAGTACCAGAGCAGCGAGACGAGGGCGCAGTACAGGGGCTCTCCCGACCCGGACGCGCGCGTACCGGAATACGTCGGGCCCCAGCCCCTACAACTCGCAGACCACCACCGCGGGGGGCCTTCCCAGGTGGCCGTGTAGAAGCCAGAGCTGGCGAGACGAGGCGGAGTTCCGGGAGCCTGGGGCGGGGCCAGAAGAAATCACGGCCTTGGGGCGCGGCTAAAGGGTCTGGGGCTGGATCCGGAGGTTAGAGGAGCCGGGGGAGGGGCTGGGCATTCAGGCCAGGCCAGAAGGACCAGGGACTAGAAACTCACCTTCAGGGCTCCGAAGCTGCTGCGGGGCTAAACTAGGGCTTGGAACGGGGTAGGAAATCTATGCCTTGGGTATGCCTCCTCCCCCATTCTTGCTCAGGCTCTAATCCCCTGGACGAAGAACCCCGAGCTGTCTGGCCGGCCTTTCACAGTATCCGACCGGAGCGTCCTGGACCGCCGCCAGCTCTATCTGACCACCTCGGCGCGGGACTTTCGGTTCTATCCCAAGTAAGCCGGGCTCTCGCTCCGCACCGCCTCCTGCCTTGGCCGGTGCACGCCGAGCCCCTGGGCTGGCTTCCATTCTCTGACCCGGTGGTCTCAGCCTTGACTCCTATAGCAGCAAAACCCAAAGTTCAGGCCCCAGCCCCTCCCTCTTTTAGCACCCAGGAGTCCTTAGTGTCAACTCTCAGGAACGGCGGTAGGGACAGGAAGCGTGCACAGCGGCTGAGGGGATTCTGGATCTGAGGGCAGGGCCTCTTTCCGTACTTGAGCCCCCACATACTCCTTCCCAAGGAAGCGAAAGCCCCCGTTTCCTTCCCTAGGATGCGAAAGCTCAGTTTCAAGGACGTTAAGTACCTCGGGGACCCAGGAACGCAGGCTGCGGTCCTCACTATCCTGCTCTGCTCCCACAGGACGGAGCTGTCCGGATACCCCCGCAAGGACTCCCTGACCTACTGGAGCTTCGAAGAGACGCCCCAGGTCTGGGGCCACGGCCCGCAGCGGCCGCACTGTCCGCGCTCCTCCCGGCCGCCCCGACCACCGCGGGTCCGCGTGCCACGCGCCAGGCCGGTGACCTCGGCCGTGCCGCACCGCGGAGCCCTGTCTCTGGCTCAAGAGTCCTACAGCCCCCCGTTGCACCCGCTCCGGGGGCACGACCGCTTCTGCCCGCTGGAGGCGCCCTGGGGCGGCCCCCACTGGAAGCCCCTGCCGGGCATCCACAGCGTGCCGAAAGCCTACAGTACAGAGAACTCCAGCTATGGCAGCTTGAAGCCGACGCTGGTGTGAGCGGGCCGGGCCAGCCCCACCCCGGACACGCCCCCTGGGCCGCGGGGCGGAGCCGAGCTCCGGATCTCCGCTCACTGAGAGGGATCGGACCAGGCCTGAGTCGCACTCATTACTTCTATCGGCAATGTGGGGGCGGGACTAGCCCAGACACGCACACTCGGCTGCGGCATCGCGGAGAGGGGGCTAAGTCCAGATAATGTCCTTGGAGGCTGTGGCCCGGCCGGCAGCACACGCACCCTGAGGGCGTATTAAATGAGTTAAATCACTTGAACCACACCCATTTCTGGGGACCCCTCCGGGCATCCTGGCTTGAGGGTGTGGTGGGCAGAGGTCCCTAAGGCTGAGGTGGGGCTCGGGCTGAATCCCTGGTTGGGGGGCATCTGGGTCAAGTGGCTTCCCTGGCAGCACAGTCACGGTGAGGACTGTGGCACATGAATGCATCAAGTGGAGGGTTGAGGCTTCAGTCCAGCACCTTTCTCGGGTCACCTCCTCCTCCTGGCTCCCAAGACAACTCGATAGGCAGAGGCAGGCCTTCCTACACCCTACTCCTGTGCCTCCAACGCCGACTAGACCCTACCACTCCATGGATGAGTTTCTGAGGTCACTTCACCGTGGTCTCTGCCTCATCCCTGGCGCTGGATCACTGAGGGGAGAGGGCTGGGGCGCTCTGCTGAGCCACTCCTGTGCCTCCCTGGCCTTGTGCACCTCTCGCCCCCAGGGGGATTAGTGTCCAGGTTACCCTAGCATCCTACCACCTCCTGGTGGCCTTGCCGCCCCCACAACCCCGAAGTATAAAGCCAGGTACACGAGGTGGGGGACGCACCAAGGATGGAGATGCTCCAGGTAAGACTGCAGGGCCCCTGGGCACCTTCCACCTCCTTCCAGGCCATCACTGGCATGAGAAGGGGCAGACGCGTGTGAGCTGTGGAAGGAGGCCTCTTTCTGGAGGGGCGTGACCCCCAGTAAGCTTCAGGTGGGGCAATCCCTGAGGGTGGGGATCTGAAATGTTGGGGTATCTCAGGTCCTCTGGGCTGTGGGGTGGGCGCTGAAAGGAAGGTGTCTGGGCGGTGGGTCCTGACTAGGAGATGCCGGGAAGGGTCTCTGGGTCGTTGCACGTGGTGTACTCGGGGAATGGGAAGGCCAGGGCACGGGGCTGCGGTCTCAGACCGGGCTGAAGCTGTGTCCTTGTCCCAGGGGCTGCTGCTGTGGCTGCTGCTGAGCATGGGTGGGGCACAGGCATCCAGGGAGCCGCTGCGGCCACTGTGCCGCCCCATCAATGCCACCCTGGCTGCCGAGAAGGAGGCCTGTCCCGTGTGCATCACCGTCAACACCACCATCTGTGCCGGCTACTGCCCCACCATGGTGAGCTGCCCCGGGCCAGGGGCAGGTGCTGCCACCTCAGGGCTGGGTCACAGAGGCATCGGGGCAGGAAGGGCGGTCTGCCTGTCTGGTCGGGGGCTGGGGAATGGGGTGTGGGAGGGCAGCAACAGAGGGCTTCCTGGACTCCTGAGTCTGGGACCTTTGGGGGCAGCTTGGGAGCTCAGCAGAGGCACTGGCCCCAGGCACATGCTCACTCCCCTATCTACACTTCCTCCAGATGCGGGTGCTGCAGGCGGCCCTGCCGCCCCTGCCCCAGGTGGTGTGTACCTACCGCGAGGTGCGCTTCGACTTCATCCAGCTCCCTGGCTGCCTGCCTGGCGTGGACCCCGTGGTCTCCTTCCCTGTGGCTCTCAGCTGTCGCTGTGGACCCTGCCACCGCAGCACCTCTGACTGTGGGGGTCCCAAGGACCACTCTTTGACTTGTGACCACCCCCAACTCCCAGGCCTCCTCTTCCTCTAAAGACCCTCCCCCAGCCCTCCAAGTCCATCCCGACTCCTGGAACCAGCAGGCACCCCGTTCCTCCTGCAATAAAGGCTTCTCAGTGCGCACTCTGGAGGTGTCTTTCTGTGGGCTCAGGGCAACCACACACAGAGTGGGTGCAGCTTCAAACCATTTTATACAAAGTCACAGTGTCAGAACTCTGGTAGAAAACAGGGTGGGGACAGGGGATGACATCCAGCTCAGGAGGTGTCCATGGTCTCGCCTTCTGTGGGGAGAAGGAAGGCCACATGGTCAGTGTGGCCCAGGGGGCAGGGCCTGAGCCTTCTAGGCCGAGCTCCCTCTTCCTCCCCGAGGTTGGCTCTGGCACACAGGTGCAGGGTAGGGATGCTTACTGAGTTCATTGAAGAGGAAGGCGTCCTGGTACTCCTTCATGTACTGCGTGGAGCGGGACTCGTCCAGGAAAAGTGAGTAGACCCGCTTGATGTCATCCACCTGTACTTCTGTACCCTGGAGGGGGAGGGCGGGTCCTGAGTTGGGCCCCTCTCCGTGAGGCTCACGGCACAGACCCCAGCATATGCCACCTCCATGCTCCAGGCAGCAGACGGTGGCATGTGAGGGGAGGGCATTCTGGGCCAGATCACCTGGGTTCAAATCCTGCCTGGTCATCTCCTGGTTGTGGGCCCAGCCTCTGCATTCCTCAGTTTCTTTATCTGTAAGGTGGACCTAACAGCATCTACTTACAGTCAACAGAGATTTACTGAGCACCTACTGTAGGCTAGGCGGGGAGATACAGAAGACAACTTGAGGGATGAAAATTCCCTGCCTCTGAAAATGTACATCCTAGGTTGAAATCGGAACCCTGGCAGCCCCCGAAGTAGTGCGTCACTCACTGCCGCCATCTGGCCCTGCTGGCTAATTCGGCCGGCTGACCTTGCGTTTCCGGCACACCAGGCTTGCAGCCGTGATGAGCTGGATGGCGTAGCGCAGTGACGTCTCCAGCCCGATGCGGGTCAGCACCGTGTAGGCGTCCTCACTCATCTCCACATCTTCCTCCTCGCACCTGCAAGCAGTGGTGGATGGGGGTGGCTCAGCCAGGGCCCAGTCTCTGACTGCAGCAGAAGTGGCCACAGCAACCCTCTGGCCCTTCCCCACTGGGAATATGTGGCACCTGTATCTTAGAACCATAGAATGCTGAGGCTAGAAGAGCCACAGAGACAGGGGCTGGGCTGGACCTAAAACCTAGGCCTCCTGACCATGCCCAGGGCGCTGGCCCCCACACCAGTCATGGGTACCTCGCCTCCCTTTCCCACCATGGCTCCTGCTCCCGGATCGGCGGCCACTGTCTGGGTGCCAGATCAGCCCTCTCTCTTGCAGGCCCAGCCACCATGCCAGTCCGCCAGACCTCAGTGTCGGCATTTGTCAAACAGGGTAGACCCCAGCCCCGCCTCTCAGGCGCACGGCCTGGTCCTGCCCGCACCGGATGCGGAGGATCTGCTTCGTGTCTTTCTCGCTGTAGGGGGTGGTGGAGACAATAAGCAGCCGGTCCAGTAGGTCTATGGGGATGCCGTGGGGGCTCTGGTAGCTGGTGCCCCGGATTCTGAGGAAGAGGCAGAGGGGGCTGTCAGGGGGATGTTCCCTTTTCATTCCCTTTGCTGGAAACACTCCCACCTCCCATCACCACCCACTCAGTGGGCCCAACACCACTTAACCTTTAGCTCGTGTCTCCTGTCACATGATGACATCACCCCCTGATGACGCAGCCTTCTACAACTGTGTCAGTCCCCCAAGGACACCTTTCCGCAGAGCTGGGCTGCTTTAAGCTAGCTCTCTGCCTCCAGGATTACTGGATCAAGGTCCCACTCCCGTGCTTGACATGAAGCTTCACAAAGGAGGGGACAGAACCTGTCTTGTTCCCTGCTGCAGCAGGGCCAGCCCAGGACTGGTGCCAGGGTATACAGTCAGTTCCCCTTATTCACCGCAGTGAGGCTCTAGAAAGTCACTGTGAACACTCCAATTAGCCGATCCTGAGCCACTGCTCCTAGTGGAATACAGGGTTAGGCTCTCTTGAGCCTTTACTCACGGTATTTTCGTCAATCAATATATATATAATCTGGGTCTATGTGTGTTTTCATTTGTGTGTTTCTGTTATATGTTTTTGAAGATGGAGTCTTGCTCTGTTGCGAGGCTGGAGTGCAGTGGCATGACCTCGGCTCACTGCAACCTCCGCCTCCTGAGTTCAACCGATCCTCCTGCCTCAGCCTCCCAAGTAGCTGGGTCTACAGGCGCATGTCACTATGCCCAGCTAATTTTTTCTATTTTTAATAGAGACGGGGTTTCATCATGTTGGCTGGGATGGTCTCGTCGTTCTCTTGACCTCGTGATCTGCCCACCTCAGCCTCCCAAAGTGCTGGGATTACAGGAGTGAGCTACTGCACCTGGCCTCATTTATGTGTGTTTCTATTTTCATGTGTTTATGTAATATCACTGTTTATTCTCTAACATGGAGCTCATGTCAACAGCATTCTAACTTGGGCTCAGCGAAGCGTCTGTAACATGGTATTTCCTCCGTCAGGCATCACAGCCTCCTTGCACTTAGAATACCAGACAGCACTTCAGCACTGTACACAGGGAACATTTCAAATGGCAATATCACCAACAAATGGCCCCAAAAAGTTTTTTTTAAAAAAAAGGCACAAAAATGTGACAATACTTTGGGAGGCTGAGGCATGCGGACTGCTTGAGCCCAGGAGTTGTAGGCCAACCTGGGCAACATGGCAAAACCCCATCTCTACAAAAAAATACAAAAGTACAAAATAAAAAATAAAAAATAAAAAAAATAAAATTAGGCCGGACACGGTGGCTCACCCCTGTAATTCCAACGCTTTGAAAGGCCAAGGTGGGCAGATCACGAGGTCAGGAGTTCGAGACCAGCCTGGCCAATATGGTGAAACCCTGTCTCTACTAAAAATACCAAAATTAGCCAGGCATGGTGGGGGGTGTCTGCAATCCCAGCTACTCGGGAGACTGAGGCAGGAGAACTGCCTGAACCCGGGAGGCAGAGCTTGCAGTGAGCCAAGATCGTGCCACTGCACTCCAGCCTGGCAAGAGAGCTAGACTCCGCCTCAAAACAAAAACAAAAATTAACTAGGCACAGTGGTGCACGCCCATGGTCCCAGCTGATGAGGAGGCTGAGGCCAGAGGATTGATTGAGCCCCAGGGATGGTGTGTGTGTGTGTGTGTGTGTGTGTGTATGTGTGTGTGGCAGGCACTGAGGCTGCAGTGAGCCATGATCATGCCTCTGTACTCCAGCCTGGGCAACAGAGCAAGACCCTGTCTCAAAAAACAAAAGTGAAAACGTAGTACTAAATAGAATACAACAAGAACACTTATTTACAGCACGAGCTAAAGGGAGCAGCCAGTGTTGCCTCATTCACACCCAGCTAGGAAAGTGGGTGTCAGGTGACTCGAATTCGTGCTCGAAAGCAGGGCAGATATTTACTTGCGGATTACAAATAAATCTTAGCAAGCGAGGAGATTCTCAGATACGGAGTCCACAAACAACCAGGGCTGCCCGTAGCTGCTGCCTCCCACAGGAGGTGCCCCTGGGCAGTCCCCAAGCCCTGACCTGCGGTTTCTGTGAAAACACCATCAGCCCTGGGGGTCTCTTCCAGTGTCCAGCCACCGAGAGACTAAATTCGGGCTCTGCCACTTTCTAGACTTGGGACCTGGGCAAGTCACTGGGCCTCACTGTCCTGCCCTGTAAAATGGCACTGAGGTGACATCTACCTTCTGAGCTGCTTCTGCAGATCCAAGGAGTTAAGAGCCAAACACAGAGCCAGGCACAGCGGCCCACCATCCTCTGTAGGATGCCTGCTTCGTCCCTTTTGTGGTGCCCACCCCAACCGCCCAGTTTCAGCTCGGCCCACAGCTGCAGTCCCCAGCCTTCTTTGCCACCAGGTACGGCCCTGAGCCTGAGCAGCGCTGGGCAATGGGATGTGGGTACAAGGGTGGGGTGCAGCCTGTGGATCACAGCCTATGGGGGCTGCCTGCCCTCCACATCCCCCTGCTTCCTGCGGGCCAAAATGGGGCGAGGTGGAGAAGACAGCCAGCAGGCATGGTAGCGGGTGCCCATAATCCCAGCTACATAGGGTGCTGGCAACACCTGGGAGACGAGGTTCCCAGGCTTCAGCACAGCACAGTACCCTCTGTGTCACAGCAATCTGTCCCCGGCATCCTCAGACCAAACACAACATTAAGAGTTCCCCACGCACACGGTGCTGGCAACACCTGGGAGACGAGGTCCCCAGGCTTCAGCAGAGCATGGTACCCTCTGTGTCATGGGAATCTGTCCCTGGCATCCTCAGGCCAAACACAACAGTAAGAATTCTGTGAATGAAGTTGTTGGGTCGAAGTGACTGAACAGTCGTAGTTTATGTCGTGTCTAACAGATGTCACTGTGCTTCCCTTAAGATTAGAAAACATCCCACAGCACTCCTGTGAGTTTCCTGCAGCGCCCTGGGGCGCTTCACACGCAGTTTGAAAACTGCAGCCTTGGGGGCCAAAGGAGTAGCAAGACAGAAAGGCAGCAAGAACAGTCTCTGGGCTTCCTCGGGGAGCAGAGCTGCCTCCCACCCGCCTTTTGTAAGGGAAGAGTGCACACCGCAGTCATAGGTCCCTCCCTGATCAGGTGTCAACACAGGCTCCCTGTGGACCCTCTGACCACATCCACTGCCCGGAGCATCCCGTTTTCCCCAGAGGCCCCTGCAGCTGGCTCACCGCGTGATGCCACGGTTGGTGGCCATGATCAGGACGGGCGCCATGTCACTCTCCAGGGCCCGATTGAGGAAGGAAAAGCTCTCAATGTCCAGCATGTGGACCTCATCAATGAACAGCACCTGAGATTGGGGTGTGTGTGAGAGTCGCCACCCACGTCCCTGCTTCCCCAGCCCACCCCCACCCCGCCACCTGCCCCGGCCATGTCTCGGGTCCTCACTCCAGGGATGATCTCCGCCTTGCCCTCCTCGCGCCACTCTGCCACCTTGGCATTGATCTGCTCGCGGACTTCTGACTTGATCTCCCCTGTGTCACCTATGTGAGGCACAGGTTG